TCGATAATTCCACCGAACTATTTTTATATGTAGAATAATTAAAGAAATTATATATTAAAGTAAAAAAATTATTTAATTTTATTTCATAAAATGAATGTGACATTTATATCTATTTCTAGCGCCTCCATTTAGAAAAAATATGATAAAAATACATGTTCTTCGAAACTATATTCCACTTTCATCTAAAATATTCTTTGTATCATGAACAACAAATGAAATATTCAAGATGTTTGATCTAAGTCCATGTAGACCACTCTGTATAATATATACATATATACATATATATATATATACATATATATATATATATACATATATATAATACATTTATATATTTATACATTTATATACACATAATATATAAATAAATAAATAAAAAAAATATATATATACTGTGTTCAAAGCACCGAGAAGGGACGATTCGCGCGCGCCTTTGCCCGCGCTGTGCATGCACGGAGCATGATCGCCACATGCGGGGTGCGTGCGAGCAGTGACCGGTGGGGGCGGCAGAGCACCGAATGCGAGAACAACTTGGAACAAATAACTTGCAAACCTCTCCATATTTGGTATTGTATAGCAAGGTTTTCGACCTTATAAAAAGGAGGTTTTTTTTCCGCGCAACCAGATCTTGCAAGTGTCTCGGGTCGCTATCGGCTGCCGCTCTCTATCGCGTCGAGTTCGCCCGAGATTTCCATCACCTCCTTCTGGTCCCTTCTCTACATTAATTCCCGCTCAAACATTTTGGTCCTTCGAGCCGGATTCGAGTGATAATTCGTGATACGTGCCAGTAAACGCTACAAACGAGTGGGAAGTGCTTGGCCAGAAGAAACTAATCGTGCTCCGCAATGAGTATAGACGTGGAGGCTCTGCTCGACGCTCAGTCAGAACTGTTTGGTCGCATTGCTCGCGCCGAGGAAAATCTAAAGAAGGCGGGTGCGGCGCACATTACACAGGGCGGAGTGGAGGCCCGGCTACAGACCTTGGAGGCGAATTGGCAGAAGATTCAGGTGAACCATGATGTTCTCCATTCACAATACAAGGTCGAACTTGCCAAACACGATTATTTCACCAATGACTTTCTCGCCAAAGGCGAGGACATGGTTAATGAGCAGCGAGGCATTCTCCTTGACACATTGCGCGCCCTTCGTGAGATGCATAGCGGTAGGGAGGCGTGCCACCCCGTGGCAGCGACTCCGGAAAGCAGCTGTAAGCGGAAACTCCCCAATATAGAGCTCCCGTACTTCTCGGGTCGCATCGAGGACTGGCCAGCGTTCCGGGATCTATTCCTCTCGATCTTGTCTCGCCATCCCGCGCTCGCCAAGGTCGAAAAGCTGCACTACTTGAAAACAAGAGTACAGGGTGAAGCCGAAGAGCGCATAAAGAACCTACCAACAACAGGAGACAATTTTGATCGAGCGTGGTCAATACTGGAAGAGCGCTATGAAAATAAAAGAATACTCGTGCGCTCATGCCTCGCTACCTTCTCTGCAATGCCGCGCATGAAGAGCGAGTCCATCAACGACCTCAGGAGGTTGGTTCACGGCTTATTGCAAGTGGCAGGCACCTTGGAAGGCATAGGGCAAACGTCCGCCTACGACAACGACTTTTTCGTCCACTCTGTCCTTGAATTATTGGACCCAAGGTCCCGACGAGAATGGGAGGAAGCGACGAACGACCAGCGAGATCCGCCATCGTTCGACACGCTGAGAGAGTTTTTAGAGTGCAGACTGCGAGCCCTGGAGGCGCTTCATCCGACGAAGACGGAGACAAGCGCAACCTCAACCTCCCCCTCGGCGGGCTCATCCTCGCGGTCGGCTCGAGCGAATCTGGCACAAAAACAAAGACCGGGCCGCTGCCCGTTGTGTCACAAGGAGCACTTCCTACTCCTCTGAAGCGAATTCAAGAATAAACAGCCCAAGGATAGAAAGGATTTCGTAGAAAGCAATAAGCTATGCCTAAACTGCCTCGGCAGGCATCCCGTAGCAACGTGTCAGTCCAAGAAGACGTGTTACGCCTGCAATGCGAAGCACCACACTTCTCTTCATGATGCCTGTTCGACCTCAGCGGGAGCGACAACTGCCGTCGCCACTAGCGCTCCCTCGACTTCTCTCCACGTGCATCAACAAGAAGAGAGGAAAGCTGCCGTACTGCTGGCCACTGCCCGGGTGAGTGTCTCTGATAGGTTCGGCACTCGCTATTCTGTCCGCGCGATGATTGACCCCGGTTCGGAGGTTTCTCTAGTGGGCGAGGCGCTCGCGCAACGGCTGCGTCTTCCGCGTTTGCCCGCCTCAATTTCTATCTTCGGGGTTGGCGGCAAACGCACCGGAACGACGCGAGGCCGAATATCCTTTGATCTCCATTCACTCACGTCCAATTTTTTGACGCGAATCTCCGCGTTGGTCTTGCCGCAAATCTCAGCCTACGGAACGCGAGTGGAGGCCTCTCACGCTGACTGGCCTCACATCCAGAACTTGCAACTGGCGGACCCGGACTTTGCCGTCGGAGATCCGATAGAGTTACTGTTGGGCGCGGACGTGTATGCTGCGCTCGTCGAGGACGGCCTGCGAAAGGGCGGCCCTCGTGCACCCATCGCCCAACGCACGGCCTTGGGCTGGATCCTGTCGGGCGTTGTTTGTCATGCAGAGGCGGTCAAAATGACGTCGTCTCACCACTGTCAAGCGGATGAAGACATCACGGAATTAGTGCGCCGTTTTTGGAGCCAGGAGGAGCCCCCGAGCGCTCCTCCTGCCTTGACGGACGAAGAGCAATGGTGCGAGGACCTTTATGCCTTCTCGCACAGGAGAATGCCGGACGGCAGATACGTCGTTCGTCTACCGGTGATACCCACCCTGCCTAGCTTTGAGGACACGCGACGGATCGCCTCTCGTATGCTTCGGTGCATGGAGCATCGATTCGCTGCTAACGGCGAGATGCAACGCTTGTATCACGACTTCATGGTCGAGTACGAGCAGCTCGGACACATGTCGCCCGTTCCACCGCCTCACGAGGCCGAGCGCCGTCGCGTGTGTTACCTGCCACATCATAGAGTCATCAAGGCCGCAGCTTCTTCGAAAAAGATCCGCGTGGTGTTCAACGGGTCGGCACGCTTGGCATCCGGAGACTCACTTAACGCGCACCTCGCCGCCGGGCCAAATCTGCTGCCTGCGCTGACCAATGTGCTCCTCAAATGGAGACTGAAACGTTTCGTGCTAGCAGCGGACGTGGAAAAAATGTACCGCCAGATCATGGTACATCCCGAAGACAGGGACCTGCAGCGAGTCCTGTGGCGGGTGGAGACGACTGGTGAACTGCATGACTTCCAATTGAACACCGTCACGTACGGATCTAACGTGCGCTCCATTTCTGGCTATACGGACGCTCCGGCAGCTGGCCGAGGATGAGGCAGAGCGCTTCCCCCTTGCCGCCGTTGCGCTGCGCCAGGACACCTATGTCGATGACATCATGTCGAGGGCAGACACCCTCATCGAGGCGGTGGCTCTGAGAGATGAACTGATCGAGCTTTGTTCTGCCGGCGGCTTTCCCCTGCGGAAATGGGCAGCCAACTCGGACGCTGTCTTGAGAGACATCCCTGAAGGGCACCGCCAAGTAAAGGATCAGCGGGCATGGGAAGCCGATGCGGGGCACGCTGCCCTGGGACTACTCTGGCATCCTCGGAATGATCACTTTGCCTTCAGAGTGCAGCCACTGGAAGAAGGAAAGGTGACGAAACGCGCCGTGCTGTCGGAGGCAGCACGTTTATTCGATCCTATGGGGTGGCTGGCACCGGTGGTGATAAGCGCGAAGATCCTCATCCAGACGATGTGGTTGCAGCAGCTTGAGTGGGATCAGCCGGCTTTCCCTGCTGAGGAGCAGGCATGGAGGCGCACCCGTGAAGAATTGCCTCTGCTTGAACGAATTCGCGTGCCGCGGTGGGTACACAACGGCACGGCGGGCGGCCATCCGGAACTGCATGGCTTTGCAGACGCCTCTGAGAGGGCTTATGCGGCAGTCGTGTATCTTACCACGTCTGACGATCAAGGTCGGCGGCGATCCTTCTTGTTAAGGCTAAGACGAAGGTGGCGCCTACGCATCCGGTTTCACTACCGCGACTTGAGTTGTGTGCGGCAGCGCTCTTAACCAAACTGACAGCTCACGTAGCAAGGGTCATGAACCTGAAGGCTGTACCAGTTCACTTGTAGTCCGACTCCACGGTGGCCCTCGCCTGGATACAAGGCCACCCGACAAGGTGGAAGACTTATGTCGCAAATCGAGTGGCCGACATCCAGCGGACCCTTCCGGACGCGCTCTGGCGCCACATCCCAGGCAGTTCAAATCCCGCAGACTGCGCCTCGCGCGGACTGTCCCCGGGTCAGCTCTTGGAGCACCCCCTGTGATGGAGTGGCCCTGGGTGGCTGACTGAGGGCACCTTGAGCTCACTCGGCGGGGAACCGTCGCCCCCACCGGAGCCGCTCCCGGAGGAGAGATCTCGCTCACACACAGTCATCCCTGAGGAGGAATCCCCTATGCTACTCAAATTTTCGAAGCTCCATCGACTGCTCCGGGTGACCGCATGGTGCCGACGGTGGCTCGGTGCACGGCGCACTCGGCGGGCTGCGTCTGTTTCAGGTTCTCCTCTAACGCCTCAAGAACTAGAGGAGGCTCGCCACTGCTGGATCCGCTACGTGCAAGGGCACTGGTTTCGGGAAGAGTTGCGGGCCTTGGAAAAGGGATCGCCCGTACCACAACGCAGTGGGCTCCATAAGCTAAGTCCCTTCAAAGACAAGCGCGGCGTTCTACGAGTGGGCGGACGACTCAAACACGCCGTTTTCAACCCAGACGAGCGATGCCCAACGATCCTGCCACGAAAGTCACACTTCACGACGCTAACCATCGAGGCATGCCACCTGCGTTCGATGCACGGAGGAGTGCAACTGACCTTGGGCATGCTCCGTCAACAATACTGGGTGCCTGGAGGACGCTAGGAGGTTCGACGCTGTATCCACGGATGCATCCCATGCATCCGATGGCGGGCGGCGTCACCTCAGCCTCCAATGGGACAGTTGCCGAGACCCAAGGTCACAGCCTCGCGCCCCTTTACTCACACAGGCGTGAACTACGCGGGGCCGGTACTCGTACGTACGGTAAAGGGGCGAGGCCACAAAGCGCACAAGGCCTTCCTCGCAATTTTCGTGTGCCTTGCAACCAGAGCCGTGTACTCGAGCTAGTCTCCGACTACTCGACGGATGCCTTCATAGCGGCGTTTCGGCGCTTTGTCTCCCGTAGAGGTCTGTGCCGAGCGCTGTACAGCGACAGGGGGACAAATTTTGTGGGAGCCGACGCTAGGCTGCGCGAGCTGTTCCGGGCGGCCACGGAAGAAAGCTCGCGACTCGTCGATCTTATGACTAATGAGGGCGTCGAATGGAAGTTCAACCCGCCAGCGGCCCCGCACTTCGGGGGCCTTTGGGAGGCGGCCGTGAAATCCGTAAAGCACCATCTCAGAGGGGTCATAGGCGACTCAACCTTAACCTTCGAGGAATTAACCACGGTACTCACACAGATCGAGGCGTGTTTAAATTCTCGACCCTTGCAGGCTATGACGGATGATCCGGAAGACCTCTCGGCCCTAACTCCAGGACACTTCCTAATAGGCGACGCTCTGACAGCCGTGCCAGAGCCAGAGTTGGGCCGGGAGCCGATCAATCGATTAACGCGATGGCAATACCTCCAGAGGATGCGAGATGATTTCTGGGCAAGGTGGTCCAAGGAGTATCTCCATACGTTGAATGCCCGTAGCAAGTGGTGGAAGCCCGAGGCCAACCCTGAAGTTGGCGACTTGTGTCTCATCCGAGGGGAAGCAGTACCGCCATGCAAGTGGCCACTGGCACGGATTGTGAACGTACACCCTGGAGAGGACGGACAGGTGCGCGTGGTCACCGCCCGAACGGTATCAACAGAGTTGCAGCGACCAGTAGCGAAGCTTGTCCTGCTACCGACCAATCGTGCTGCGAAAACCGAAATGATCACCTCGCAGTCAATGTAGCCCACAACGATCTTCATCCCGCGCTGCCTTACTCCTTCACCATTAAGTGCCCAGCACTTACTCTCCCTGGCGTTCTTTCTTTCTCCTTCTCCTTTTCTCTCTTGTCTCATTTTTATTTTTTTATCTCCTTCCTCTGATATCCTTTCAAGCTTGCGTTAAGAAGCGGTCATAGCGATGGCGAGCGTTGCATAATAAAATACGCACCTCTCGACCTTCTAAAGAAAAAAAAAATAATTCCGGGCACTTCGTTAGCAGCGGCTAACGAGGCGGGCGGCAATGTTCAAAGCACCGAGAAGGGACGATTCGCGCGCGCCTTTGCCCGCGCTGTGCATGCACGGAGCATGATCGCCACATGCGGGGTGCGTGCGAGCAGTGACCGGTGGGGGCGGCAGAGCACCGAATGCGAGAACAACTTGGAACAAATAACTTGCAAACCTCTCCATATTTGGTATTGTATAGCAAGGTTTTCGACCTTATAAAAAGGAGGTTTTTTTTCCGCGCAACCAGATCTTGCAAGTGTCTCGGGTCGCTATCGGCTGCCGCTCTCTACCGCGTCGAGTTCGCCCAAAATTTCCATCACCTCCTTCTGGTCCCTTCTCTACATTAATTCCCGCTCAAACATACTGTGATTATATGCTGTATATATATATATATATCTGTTATGTACATCCCCGTTTTTAGCATAACCCAGGATCAACGATGAGGACGTGACGGGGTTCTGATTCCTTTTTTATATATTTTTTTTATTTCTTTTTAATACTTTTTCAATAATTTTTTTAAATTATTTTTTTATTTTTTGAAAAATACGTAAATACGGATATATGTTATAAGGTATATTAATACTTACTGAATAAAATGTATATTAATTCTTAAACTTCAATAACATTAAACTCATTTTCTGGATTTTGTTGTGGCGGCCTATTTCCAGCATCATAAATGTCACGGGTAAGCTGTGTTGATGGATATTGAATGTTTTGCACATGTCGTGCGTATCCTAAAAACCATAATACGCTGGTTATATGTGCACATGTACCAACGGTTCTAGCACCA